TGTGTGTGTGTGTGTCTGTGCATGTGTGTGTGTGTGTGCGTGTGTGCGTGTGTGCGTACGTGCGTACGTACGTACGTACGTGCGTGCGTGCGTGCGTGCGTGCGTGCGTGCGTGCGTGCGTGCGTGGCTGGGTGCATGGGTGGGTGCGTGCGCATGTTACCTATAGGTATGTACAGATGGATAGATGGATGGAGGATGGATGTGCACACTGTCCACGTCGGCCCGTGTCTGTCTGTCAGCCCGTCCGTCCGTCCGTATGTATGTATGTATCTGTATATGCGTGTCTGTGTGTATATAATATTTGCATCTACGTCTGCACTGTCTGCCTCTCTGTCCAGGAAGATGTCCAAATGAAGACTGAAGACACACACACACACACACAAACACCCTACTCCTAGAAGCGACTGCCCATATGCAGAAGTACACGTGCCGGATACATGCACACATGCACAGAGGCAGGCGGGCAGAGACGCAGAGAGAGAGAGAGACAGACAGACAGACAGACAGACAGACAGACAGACCGACGGACAGACAGACAGACAGACAGACAGGCAGAGACAGCCAGCCAGCAGCCAGCCAACCAGACAGACAGACATACAAGTGACCGACAGACAGACGAACGGACAGACAGACAGAAAGACAGATCGGACTCTTACGAGGACCACAACTCATCAAATGGGGCTTTTGACCACGAAGCAAACGACGAGCAAGGAAGTGGACAGGGTTGGTAGCTCATCCGGTTAAATCACGGATTTAATGAATAGCCGGCACTGCGCCGCATGAGGCCGTCAGGCTTTTGGTCTGAGCCCGTGGCGTCACGGACGCACACACCATGCCTGCACGAGCATCGACATGGCGATGGAGGAGGCAACAGATCGAGTCAGCAAACCTGGATTCCAAGACGATGCAGTAGCAATCCCAGCACCTTCAGAATGCACCGTCCAAAGCCGCATGACCGGAGGAGACCGCCTGCCCTCCACCTGTGGCAGGAATCGAACGGAGCCTGGGGCTTTGGAGAAGTACGGCTCGAGAACCCGAGAACGAGATCGTTGCGAGCTTGTGATGCTGATTCCCTCTGCTTCTGGCCTTTGTGCTGTGGATTGACAACCCGGCTGACTCAACATCTCCAAAGAGGCAGCTGCGCGCAGTGCAGGCTCACCTCCAGTTAATCTGCCATCGCGATCGATGCCCTCAAGTCTGAGCTGCAAAAGGCGAAACTTCACGAAGAGGGAGGCTTAGCTTGCTTACATACTCACTTGCATCCATCTCGATTTTGTAGTAGTTACGAGATAGGTTGTGTGACCTCCGGCACGCGCCTCCTCGTCGCCACTCCCTTGTACTGATGCCACCCACCGCCTTTGTGGGAGAGGATTTCGAGGAGTCAGGGCTTCAGTCGTGGCAGATGTCGGGCCTGGGCAAAATACATCATATGCAGCTTCTGATCCAGAATCTAGCCGCAGAACCCTATTTTCGCAACAGAATCCAGCTCTGCCATGCTGGGCCCCAAGCCCATCGTCTGAGGCCTCCAGCATTTCAACGCGCCTCAGTCCGTAAATGCTGGATGAGCCGGAGTGATCAAAAAACCTAAAAGGATGTGACCGTAAGACTGCTCGTCAGTTGTAATTAAGCCCAAGGTTTGGATGATTAGCTTCCAAAGCTCGTACTCCTGTTTCTGCCTGCAGTTCCTGTTTCCAAACCTCCCCTGCATCACCAGCCCTCCAAGTGGCGATAGCACGGAGAACAAGCTGCGGCACTTCCGTATCATGGCATGACACCCTGATTCTCCCTCCCACTCTCTCCCTGTCTCGGTTCGAGGTCCAGGCCTGGCATGTCCCTGCAAGAAACGGGGTCTGCTGCTTGGATCCTCCACAAGCAACAGCATCTAGGCCCATCTAGGCATCTGGTTCCCCAAGCGTTTCCGGCAAAGCTGTCTAAGTCGGCCTGGTTCCGCAGCACCAGGGCCATGCAGCTCATGCCCGCAACCTGCGCATCTTGCAAGACAAAACGGAAGAACGACTGCAACAGCAGCGACCATGTCGTCACGGCTACCACACCTCGGAACTGACAACTGACAACAGTGATGGCAAAGGTTGCACTAGTCAATGTGCCCAGGAACAGCAGCACAGCAGTAAAGGTAGCAGTAGCAGCGGCAGCCACTCCAAGAGGATCCATGGGTCGTGGACAGTTGTTTTGTCTAGGAGAACTTCAGCTTACAGTTGATAGACATGTGAAGAGAAAGCGGCAAACAGAGAGAGGAAGACAAAGCATTATGGAGAGGGTCAAGAAGACAGTGATAGATTGATTCAGATAGATGCCCACCCCCAATTCACAGAAGGCAGTACTAAATTCCAGAGATCCCGTAAACGTCACAGCGACCTCCATCGGTGCAGCAGCCCCGTCCTGCAGGTCATTAATTAAATTAAATCTCAAGCAGAATTAATGAGGAAGCTGAAACTGAAGCAAGGAGGAAAGCATTCCGCTTCTGGGCTCCAGGAAGTCCAGGATCAAAACACCGTCATTTTTGCACTTCCGAAGCTTTGCAAACCTGGGGCAGGAGAAGCCTCCTGCCCTGACGCTCTCGCAACATTCGCAACTCGGACTCCGCCAGACGAGGTCTCTCGGTTCGACTACGTAGTCCAAAGCTTACAAACATTTCAGATCGAGACCGGTGATGTTGCTCACCAAGACGTGCAGTCCGGCCCAGCACTCAGCACGAAAGCTGCCCGGCGATGCGGGACCTGGGACGGGTGCTCTGGCCATGACAGCGCAGTTGGAGACAGTGCCGTTAGCATGGACACTGGGGCACTGGGGCACACGGACACTGCCAGCACCACTACAGAAATGGCTACAACACTGCGTGCCCCAATCGCTTGAGCGGCACGAGCGGTGGTTCTACACTACTCCCCGGCCCTGACTCACAGTGGCCTGGAGAACTCCGGACGTTTCCACGATCCTGTAGGCGGCTCACGATGCGCAAGTACAAGCTTCTGAGCGGGCTGCTTTATGAGAGCCGAAGCTATCGGCAGATTCCCGGAGAACCCAGGCAACGTGAGACGATGCGTCGCCTGCGCCCACCAGCGGCCACTGCCGCCATGTTCCGAATCGATGCGATCGGCCTCGGCCTGAGTCGAGGCGACTCGGGCAGAGCTTGGCAAGTTCTCAGCGCTTCTCTGTTTTTCATCAAGTGCCTTTTGGAGTGCCCCGAGAAGGCTCCAACTTGACCTCCAGTCTGCTTTGGACGGCAACTCCAATCCCTCGTGATCTTCAGCGAAGCAGAGCCATCATGCCATTCTCCACGTGACAGGAGCTCAGTCCGAGGCCAATCCTCCTGGGCAAAAGCGACTTTGCTGTCTTTGCTTCCAGCTCCAGGGCCAGCTATGAGAACTCTATGGCCAGCTCAGCTCATGCTTTTCATCCCCCGCTCTTAGGAACCGTACGTGCGTAAACTGCGCGCGCACCCGCACGGCACAGGTCCACATGTATCATACGCGCAGGCACAGGCACATGCACATAAGTTGCCTCATTTCTTCAAGCTCCAACTATTGCGGTCCGGCTGTGCAACAGCCGTATCGTTTTGGGTCGCCTCAACTTCGAGGTATGCTGCCATTGGCGAAACTCTGATGTACAATGCGACGGGCTTCCTCTCCCGACCAGGAAGCTGTCCTTTTCCGCCTTCCCCGATCCCGAGATGGAGCTCGCAGAGGGCAGAGATGAGGAGCCTCAGTCGCGAGGCACTAGGACGGCGGCAAAAAGCTTCCGGCACAGCTTCAGCCTGGAGCGGAGCTGAGGACCTTTCTCTTCAGTGGAGACGGCGCAGCCATCACGGCCATCCTCCGGCATTCGCGAAATCAACAATCGCGGAATGCTTCTGCCCAGGCTCTGTGTTCCTGGTAAGTCGAACCGAAGCGACAGACGAAACGAATTTGCAACCAGAACGCCTGTCGCTGGCAGCTGCTGCAGCCTGGCACTTTCTGCAAACGCACCCGTGCGCAAGTTTCAGTATTCTCTCACTGGGATCCAGGCAAGCTGACGGAAACTCAAGCGTTTGTGCTTCAGAATCCGCCCCAAGATCTGCGAAGAAGAGCTGCAAAACAAAACAAGGTTGAGCTGCCTCTCCTGCATCCGGAACATCGACCCATGCCCAGTCCTGCAAGGACCAGAATGATGGTTCATTTATGTAGCAGGGTCGGCGAAACCTTGTGACAATCCGGTGGTCCTTGAACTCACCCAGGATTTCGCGAGGTCCAGCGTTGGCGGCGTAGTATCCTGGTGGCGCTGCGCGGATGCGCGCGCAAGGCAGATGGTATCCCCCGATGTAGCCGGGAGCAGTCGCCAAGGTGGAAGATGCCAATCTCCGAGCGGGGGTTCGAATTTGTAGGGGCGAAGCTGCAAAAGTTTACTTGAGACGGATCGACCTTTGATCACTCCGTTTCCGTCACTGCATCCTGATTGTCTTGTGACGAGCATCGGTCGGAGGTGAAGGCATTCCGCACGTACAGAGACGAACAGATCTGGATGGATCCTGGGATCTGCCGAAGTCCAGATTGCACATGCTTCTTCGTGAAGCCTTGCTCCTGTACGTACCTCCTGGCAACACGCTCAAACCTGGAGATGGCTCCTCGTTGACTATCACGCTTGACATCCCCAATGTGCATCTCTCGCTGCCCAGATGCTCAAGAGGAAGCCGTGTCGGTTAACTCCCGGAACCACGCCCAACGCTGAGGGCACGTGGAGCCGCACCACCTGGGCAAATAACACAAACGCAACCGTGAAGACTTCGGTAACTACCCAATCAATCCCGCTGGAATCACGGAGCAGGTGCGGAGCATGTTAAGCAGCGGGCAGTCCACTGCTCCGGCAGCTGGCAGGGACACTGAATGCAATGGTATGTCGCCGTCCCCACCTGTGCCAGTTGATCATCTCGTTTAAGCGGCTTCCCTTGCCGTTCCTGCCACATCAAACACCAAGTGCCTTTTCCAAATCCTGTCAGCTGTGGACAAGCCCCAGCTGCAACCAACACAGACTTCGAATGATTCCACGTCCTGCTTTTCCGCCCAACAGTATGATCGACCACAGCACATGGCGCTCAGACGTCTGCGTGGGCTAGGCCGGCTATGCGTCGCTCAAGCTTGGCCTCTTGGTAAGCGTTGCTCAGGGAAATGCCTTGGCCAACACCGGCTGCAAGCACCACGAGCTGAAAAAATGCCCAAGGCGTAGCAGCCACTAGCAGTAGCAAACATGACATCTTCAGAAGTCGCCCCCGGGCCGAGCCCATGGCAGTACTCCCCCCCCCCCCCCCCCGCTGACGCGGCATGGTCGCTGCACTTTGTAGCCTTCCTTCAGTGTCTGGCGGTCATCGTATAGTCGAAAGTAACCGCCGTAGTGGAATTAAGATGTAAGAAGTAAGCATCTGTGCGGGGATTGCGCATCAATGCAAAACAAGCAGCTCACCCCGGAGCAAAGCAGGCTATGACAGTCTGAAACCTCACATCCTCCATCCGGAGCCCCCGAGCCCAGCAGTCAAAATGAAGCCAGGCAAGAGTCGAAACCGCTGGCCATTGCTGACGACATAGTCCTTGATGCCATCGCTGTTTGGGACTTGTGTCTCCCTTTCTCCCGAAATGCTCGTGGATGCTCATCGGCTCATCGGAACATGTCACGGTTCTAGACTGCATTGAGTCCGACTGCAGGAAAATTCCATCGCCTGACACCTCAAACCATTGCGTGACATTGTCCAGCCGAACCCCAATCCAAGGCCATGCAGCCAAGTGGATGAGAAAGTACTTGCCGCCAAGGAGTTTCCTGAGATTGGAAATGGAACTTCAAGCTGGCGTGAGCTTGCAAAAGCTCCTCTTGCTTCTGCACTGTGGGACTCTTGTGCTGCGCTGCACGATAGCTAAACAGGACAAGCAAACAGGCAGCACCTAACGACACACACACACAGAGACAGATTGAGGGTTATCGAACTAACACTTTTCGGAAGTAGGACACCATGTGGGCTTGACGCACCTTGAATGAAGTAGTCAGGAATTTCGAAACAGCCGCGAAGCGTGAAACCACAGAGCCCTCAACAAATTCCAGGACACGACAAGTCGAGAGCCCCAAGCAGTTCTCGCCGAAGCACAGCTGGAGGTAAAGGAACTCGCCGACGAGGTCCAAACTTCGGACCTTCCCCTGCGCGGCTCTGCGGATTATAAAGCAAAAGCCTTAGGAAATGGCTGTCTGCGTACAGGGTACGAGTCGCAGGCCTCGCACTGGAGCACACGGTGCTTCTGGCCGTTGCATAAGTGCGGAGTATACTTCCTTGTGCCACCGTGCCTTTCTAAAACCGACCTTGACGCCCATGTGAGCAGGCGTTGCGAATGCAAGACAGCAAGATGCTACAAGCGAAGAGACCACAAAAAGACACTGTGATGACATGTTGAAGATGTGCAAGACTGAACCAAGGGTTTTCAACAGATCCCAACACGTACTTGGATAGGACGGATAGCCGGTTGTCTGTCACATCGCATGGGCAACAAGATCTTTGCGCTGCTTCGACTTGGAGCTCCCAGAGCTCTCAGAAGCCTTGCTTTGACATGTGGCTCTGGCCTCCAGACCCTGTGACACAGCTCCGATGCTTTGGCTTGATCTTTGGGGCCATGTTGCACCGGGCAGCCTTCGTCTTCGGCAGTTGAATGTAATTATTGGCGGAGACCTCGGGAAGATGGCGCCAGGAACCAACAAGCATTGCAACCGATCTTCCGCTTCGCTGCACTGCCGTCCAACTGAGGTCCCACACGGACCCTTGAACTTTAAAGACCCGTTTGCAAATCTCCCGGTCCATCTCCTGCACGGCTTAACCAAGGGAGAGCAGGCTCTGGGCATCAAAGTCTGTATGGGAGCCTTGTTTAATATAAGTCTATGGGATCTTCTTTTTTCCCCTCTCGCATGGCTAAGGATCTATGCCCACAAGCGAGGAAGCTTTGAGTACCAGAGTCACTGTGCTCTAGGAGATAAAGATCAGCCGCAGCACAACTAGAATAGCCAAATTTAGATACCCCAGGGTGTGGGCGGCAAGATCTCTACCACCATCGGCAATCATGTCACGGGTCCTCACCTACAACCGACAGTAAGTGAAAGGACTTCGGGGTTGAGAACCTTATGCGACATGAAAGAGTAAAAGGCTGTACGATCTCAAGCTCATTGACTCAAGACAGTTAACGCTACTCCAAAGTCAAGACCAGCAAAATGCCGCATAAGAGATAGTAAGCCTGAGCTCGAAAACATCAGACGAAATAGGTTAGTTAGAGGCATGTTCGTTTGAAACAAAACCTTGAGTCGTACCTGCAAGCAAGTCAGACTTTATCCAAGCTGTGCGGCAAGACATCCCGAGAACAGGCAGGACTGAATGCAACCCAAATGCAAACCCATTCTTAACATGTGACAATGAACAACGAGGAAGAACTCCTCTGAGAGCCCAACCTAAATTCCAGCTACGAGGCCTCCGACACCTCTCCCTTGAGGTCGGCGGAGAGCGCGGAGCCCTTCAGGGAGGCCCCGGAGGGATCCGTGCCGAAGCTCCTCGAGAGAAGAAGGGCTGAAGTTGTTCATTGTTGATGAGGTCAATATCACGTCATATGATATCACAATGAACATATGTATATGTATATATACACACATATACATGTGCGTATATGTATATATACATGTGTATATATATATATATGTGTGTGTGTGTGTGGGTGTGTGTGTGTGGGTGTGCATGTGTGTATATATGTATATATATATATATAAATACCAACACATACAAGTATATAGATGGAGAGGCAGATACATAAACAGATAGACAGATTCTCTTGTCAATAACGTACATATCGATCGCATCCACTACATAATCATGGTGTACCCATTCGATTGTTGTTCATGCTATGACGCTGGAAATCCATGTCGATACCTTCTTCTTCGAGGCGGCTTACTAATTCCAAAGCCCAAAAACAAACCTTGCGATTCTCACACAAATTCAGAGGGCATCCCTTCCCCCTTCAAACTCCAAACCTGTGCGAAAAACTGCGGTATGGACAAGGGCTGCGGGGCTTCAGAAGTTGCTGGGCACACAGACCTGACACCTCACCCTCAATTGCTACAAATATCCCCGCCCCCTAAAACCCTAAACCCTAGACTCTGTTGTGAGCGCCGAAACCCTAAACCCTGTCTTGAAAATGTCGACGAAAGGATGCTGCCATTGCCGGCCGATGCTTGGCATCTGCAGCGGCACCACAGGCCTTTGTAAAGGTGCAAGTCTAACTGGTGAATGCTGATATAAAATCCAAGTATCATATAATCAAACATGCAAGGCAACAAAATACCTTGCGTCTAGATTTGTCCAACATGCCATCATGTCACAGTCTTGCCAGAATACCATCTGATAAGATTAGATACGATAGGGAATCTGTTATAACAAAACAAAACACCGTAGTTCATAATATAATTAACACGCTATAAGGCCGTAGGAAGTAATACAGTACACCATAAGTTTAATGAACATGGCATTCAAGATAGTAAGGTCTAGGACAGTATGACATGATACGACCGTGTAGGGTAAGATAAAGCCAGATCAGATCATGATATAGCCAAGTATACTACAACTTATTGTAAAGTGTCATAGCTAACGAATTAATGGTTGAATACCACAAAATATCACAGCAATGACATAGCATGATAAAACGCAAGATGCTTTACTTTACTATGATATACTGTATCATGATGTAATACAATGTTAAACCATAAAACATAATACGATGCGACATAGTACACTTTGGAAATACATGAAACACCAAACAGCATGGTATAGTATTTTGGCTCCCGCATGGCAGATAGTACATTGCAGTAAGGTGTAGTATAGTTTTCCACAGCACAGCACAAATCAAAATAAAACTATTTTAACAAGATACAATAGAATTTGGTACACATAATACACAATGAAACCGTATGCTATAGCATAATACAACATGGCCGTTTGCATTGTATGTATACATGTGTATATATATATATGTATATGCATATATATATATATGCACACATATAGAATACATACGTCCAATTGGTACCGTATACGCCCTTTCCCAACTTCGTCCAACCGGGCGAGGTCATGCCCCGTCCCCACCCTGAGGCCGGAGCTCACATCCACGTGCAAGGCGCTTCGGTGCCGCTGTTGTGTGTGCTGCTTGGCTTGGGGGCGTCTGTTGGGGAGTGTGGTGGTGTGTCATGAAGCTACTAAAACCTCGAGTGACTCACCCATCTCCGGGTTCTGTCGAAACACTATGCCCCTTTTGGTGCGCTCTTTGTTTCGAATATCCTTGTGTCGTAAGATCCTCAGAAGATATACGACAATATGTATATACATATAGGCACTACATGGTACGAGTAGTGTAATATACAATACGAGTAATATGCAATGGGGGCTCTGGGGCATGTTGAAGCTAGCCGATCTGCTCGAGCCGTGCCGGGACCCGACCCCCAGAAAAAGAAAATCCTGGCAGTTTCAATCGAAGGATGGATTAAGGGTTTTATGTGTTTTGCTTTCGAACATCAAGTACTCTCGCAACTCGGACAAGGCAGGCGAAGGGTGTTTCAGGGTTGAGGAGCTTCATACCGAAAAGACCTAGTTGCGGCAAGAGACCAACAACTTAACGGACTGCTACACTGACATTGGAACTGATTGCGACGATGCCGCCAACAAGCGGTAACGACCCGGTAACGGTCGTGAAACACTTATGCTAAGATAGCGATGGTGGTCATCACGCTTTTGCTGAGGTTCAGCTGACAGCCACAGCAGCAACACGAGTGACACTAACACTGTTACCTTTCTGTAAGGTAGCTGTTACAAATGGCTGCAAGAGTTCTGATACCACTGGGGTCAGA